TTTTTTATGTTATAGGCTTTAATAGCTGATATAACTTTAATTTTACTATTATTCAATTGTAATTTAGATGATTTTCCTGACATGCTCTAGCATCGTTTGCCAAAACAAAGGAGAGACTCCGCCCAAAATATCCCACATTGTTAATGTTATTGTCGTTAAATTACTAGGTTTCAAAAATCAGAACCTTTTTCATCCTACCAACCAAATAGGGAAATATGGACGAAGAGAACATGCTAAAAACTATAGAAGCTCATGTTTCACAGTTATCTCACTCGTTTATGACCATTCCGTCCCAATTTCGAAAAGTATACCGAAACTTCTAGAAACTGCAAGATGCATTTCCGCTCAATCGTGAGCATCTATTACCCTCGTTCTGGCAAACAATGCCAGAGGGTAATCGACGCTCACGATTGAGCGGATCAGCGTTTCAGAAATCATCTCAATTAAATTTGAATAGTTGTAAAATGGAAATGATACCAGCTTTTGAAGCCTATGACATAAAGAAAACGGAATTTTTGATTGGCCATAAATGTGCCATTATGGTGCTGTAGAAATTCGCATCTGTTGCGAAATATGTTAATTCATATCTTATCGCCCCTTTGTAAGTTTCATTTGTGTTGATGATGAAGTTCCGACGTCTGGAGGGTGGGCACTTGTCCATGTTTTGAGACGCTTCGAGATTGAACTTTCGATCGATTTCTCAGCTACGTTTCGCCCATCTTGGAATGGCATGACCGATGGATTCAGGCAGTATTTCATTGATAGGTATTCGCACCGGGACCTGCAAGCTGCAAGCAGGCAGCCTGCTGTAACCAGCTTTACGGAATGGCAACCTCACTTGAGCAGCTCATGCATATATCACTTCGATGCATCTTGTTGTCACGTTCTTGTTTAACCCCTAGTTTTACCATTTTTATGAGGTCTATCGCGACGTTCGCGATCAAAAAATGTTAGATCTCCGAATGTAGGCGATCTGGCAGGAATGGGAGTTTGATTTTTGGTCTTTGGCCTGCAGGTATAAAAAGGCCCCTATGAATCAATAGTTTTATTCTTCATTCTTCATTCTTCTCGAACCCTCGCCCACGCCTCGAAATCCTGAACTTATTTTGTGCTGCCAGTTATTGTATTCGTTGCTGTTATTACTGTATAAATCCTATATTACTACTGGACCACCACATGTGGAGAAAGAAGATATACAACTCTCCACAGTCTATCTGGAGAAAACATTATATATGCTGTCATCGGGATATTTATCCTTTTTAAGGTCTTTATTTTTCTAAACATGCCGTTTTTCGGATTGGATGGATTTGAAGCTATGGTCACACATCAACTGGCAGTTTATCAAATATACATCTACTTCAACAAATATAATATACACCCGCAGGGGGTTAGTGCAACAACCTACAGTGTGAGGAGGTTGGAGATGCCGATCTACTTCACTGCCCTTGTGTACGTATCCCTGTTGTGCGAACACGCTGCATGTCGACAGCTCCGCCCGGACGATACAGAAAGCGTAACTCCAGATTTCACTTTCATATTACAGAAGACCCAATTCCTCATAGAAGCCTCAGAATTTGAGACACTCCAACATGTTGCTGCTTCCGAGTGATTTTTTCTCGAAACAAGGTGAGCAATGTACAGCTGGATGGCTCAACTTCTCCCTGATTTCCTACGTACGATGCGCGAAAAGCGGCAAATCAAATCTTTTATAGTTGCCTCGTGGCTTGAAACCGTATTACCGTACCCAGCCCGCCTCCCGGCCAATCGATAGGGCACCATCCTTTTCATTGACTGCCTTTCTTTTTTGAATCTGGTTTTAGTTGCTTCTTTCTGTTTCTTTTTTGTTCTTATGCTTATTAGACTTGATCTTCTAACCTGCTTTATATTTTGTTTGATATGAAAGCATTAACTTGTACTTCAGCAGACCGCATCGAGTCAAAAGGCAGCTCATACACTTAGGACTATGAACATTATGAACAAATTCGAATGCGGACGGGCGCAATTTGAGACGGAATTGATCAAAGTCGAAGGACTTTGCAGGCTCTATCACAAAACTCGATGATGATGAAACGAATTTCGGTCAGAAAATACTTTTCAATTGGTCATGAAAGAGGCAAACCCCAGCACCAACATAAAAGGAACTGCTCTTCTAGATGACTTATATTTCATTATAGGACAGAGCAATTTAAATAGAAAGAATAGCAATGTCAACAAAAGATGGTGCAGGACATGGACAAATAATGGAAAATCAGTGTACAAAAAAATTCAGAACAAACGTTTCACCAAGATTTCGTTATCCACTTTTCACTACGTTTTTTTTTTTGGAAACCCTTTTTCTGGAGCTTTTTCAGTACGCCAACTTAGTCATTTCCTCAGTGGACCATCGCTTCATGATATTTGGAATTCTGCGTTATTCCAGTATAAGCCCAGTACAAACCATTCCTGAGCACGAACAGGTTTAAGCAGACCTTATCACGGGTCTCAACGGATGGTCTTTTTGATGGCAATCTCAAAAGTCAATTCCTTCTGAAAGCTTTGGACCATCGCTGGATTTCCTGAATGGTGAAGATACCAGTGTCAATTTAATTTTATATCAACCGATGGGTTCTGTAACCTCAGCCAGACTTCGAAGCCATAAAGTATGTAGGCCCAACAGAACTTGTAAATTAAATTAAAACATGATCTTAGGTAAAGTACGTCCAGTAGGTAAGCCCATGACATAGAAGTACGAAATAAATAGAATAAGTTATCAGATATAAATAACAACTCTAAACGTTGTTGGTTCCGGCGAACTACTAGCGGTGCGCTTTAAAAAGCGATACTAGATATTCCATTACCTAATTGTCAAAGCGCATCTGTTTGACGTCCTGATGAAGGGATGACGGTAACACATAGAAGGAAGCTGCGGAGGCGATCTTTAACGTTTTCGTTAATCCTTGCTCCCTTAAATCACAAATTTCATGCTGAAAATGAGGACCTCAAAGTAAACTGCAGATTCCCTCCAATGGTGAGCGGGGGAGAGCAAATTTGCGGAGATTCAATCGTCATACCTCTCTCTTTCGACATATTTGTACAACATCATGACGAATTGTTTTCTCAACCTGGCCTCTTCTCATGATTTCCTCTTACAATGTAAGTTTTTCATACAATTATGGTGCAGCTCTCTATAAAGCAGCCCATGTAGTGATGGCGCACCCTATTCATCCAATTGGAAAGCCCTTGCTCCGATGCGTCCGAAATTACTTTCCTTGGTATGTTCTCTTGAGTTTATTCGGGGACTATAATGTAAGCGTTTTGCAGTTTTTTAAAAATAATTATAAAGGGTGAAGGAAAAATTTTGAGTAATTTATCCAGTATGAGGGATGTGCCTCAGCAATCGACTTCAGTTCAGAATCTTAGTGGTGTAATGAGCGCTTCGTGGCCGGGAGACGAGCCTTAGGAACGATTTTGAGTAGTCGATTTGCCGCACGCGGCTGTCGCGGACCACTTATTCGTCGTTATTACTGCTCTAGCGTTCTTCATACAGCTCAATCGATATGCGATCATTATTTTATGCATAATTCTACTATTAGTACTTTTGTTCTTGTATTTCTTACCTACTGCTGCATCCTGCTACATTTCTTCGCGCGCGACACCCCTCTCACCGCGACGCGACCATTTTGTTTCTAACGCACCACACCCCTGTGTGGCCTACACAATGACTTGCAGCGGCAGGTAGTGTTTTTATCCTCTTAGATGAGTCTGGTCCATCAGCCAACCTAGGAGGGATGGAAGGCCCAATTGGCCTAGGCTGATATCGACCAGAGGTTCGAACACTTGACCATGCGTGTGTGGTAGAGCGCCGCTTGACACTACACCACCTCCGCCTCATGCAAACATATAAATCACATATTATATAATCCACTCTAAGCTACAATAATAAGATGAGAAATGTTTTGATAGGAAGAATATATGCAGAGTTTTTGAGAGTTTTCCCTCAAATTAGAGGTAGTGACTGATAGGTGGTCTTTAGGCCCAAGTGGTCAGCATCGGGATGAAGGTAAATCAAAACTCAATATTGCTAAATCATTTCTTGCTTCTAGATATGTATCGCCTTTTTATTCATCGAAGGATACTGTAAAGCAACGAACAGTTAGGTTTAATAAATATTGGTTGCCCTAAGAAAATGTTTGTGACGCTGTGAAACTTTTCAGGCAAAATTTGTAAGAAGAAGAACATTCCTGAACCTGTCCAAAGCTTTGTCCTGGACAAATTGAAGGGAACACGTCCTAAGAACACAGAAGAGAAGGAACTGGTAAGTGATTTGAAGTTTTGTATAACAAAGCAACTGTTAGTCATTTGCAATCACTGGGAAAGAAATATCCCGAATAAATATGTACCAGCCGAACAGGGGCCCCTATGGAGAAGACACTTCTCAACATTGAATTTCTCAGTGCTAGCGGAGGTTGCTGNTGGGACGCTGTGAAACTTTTCAGGCAAAATTTGTAAGAAGAAGAACATTCCTGAACCTGTCCAAAGCTTTGTCCTGGAAAAATTGAAGGAAACACGTCCCGAGAACTCTGAAGAGAAGGGACTTGTAAGTGATTTGAGGCTTTATATAGCAAAACAACAGTTAGTCATTCGCAATCACTGGGAAAAAATATCCCGAACAAATATGTACCAGCCGAACAGGGACCCCTATGGAGAAGACACTTCTCAACATTGAATTTCTCAGTGCTAGCGGAGGTTGCTGAAAGTAAATTGAAAGAATATCAAGCAATCTTTCTCCAAAATATTCTCATTTACAGGCCTATAATTGTGGATTAGCAAAAAAAGCTCTGCAGCTTGGATATCCTGGAGTAACTACCTACTTTGATGCCAGAGGGTATGTTGACGATATTTTACCTTTCCGAGCAACATTAGTGCGTTTTTAACAGATTCGCGATACCCCATACATAATTTCATGCTGCACCTGAACTAGGGATGAAGTATGAAGTCTTGGGGCGCTAATCAGTCCCGTCTGGGGGATGCGCCCATTCGACTCCCGTTTAGAATGGTTGTGGAGGTTTGAATGCTCATGTGGTCTATACAATGACTTGTGGTGGCCAGCCAATATCCCAGATGGTCTGGTCCAATTAACTGATAAACCAACCCCGGATTGATCGGCCTAGGCGGATATCGATCGAACCCGTGACCATGCGTGTAAGAAGCGCGCCACTTACCACTACACCACATCCGCCCACGCACTTAAACTGATTGTCACTATTTAGCAATTTCACTTGGACGGACTGGGAAGGATCACTGAATAAAGCCCTCGGAAGCGAGTACGCGAAACGCGACGTATGTGGCTAGTTTATTTCGCTTTGACGCCAGTTTTCTTTACAGTTCGAAGGGATTCTATATATTTCTTGATATTTTTCGCTGCCTTGAAGATACCGAAAATGTGGAGTAGCGGAGCTAGCAAAGTTGGCTGTGCCATTCGCCTCAGAACCTTCGATAACAGTCTACACGAGATACATCTACGTTGTGTGTATAGCAAGTAATTCTTCATAGAAATAAACATTGTTTGCAAGCAAGCCTACAGTCTTCTGAAGGTTTACAAAATCTTCAGGTCAACATAGCAGTACGTCCACGAATTTCATCATAAAAGACTTCATTTTTAAAATTATATTCAATCAAGGTGAGAACAACAGGATTGCAGTATTACTGAGCAGCTTCTAGTAATATAATTCGCAATTTTGCAAGATAACTCTTTATTGAGGAGGAGAAGATTCAATTATTGAAGTGGAGTACACTAATACCAAGTGGGCAATGAAGACGTTTCTTTCTTATATCATGAAAGTAGGTGGAATCTTAACATATAATAGATTCCAATAAATCCCTGTCGTAGTCTAAAGATCAAGAACAAGCAACAATTTCACTCATTCGAGCTGGGGGATATTTCAGAACTCTGGGGCAGAAAAAATAAATTTTCAATTGTCATCATGTTCTGAATCATAGAAGAAAAAGAGAAATTCTCTTTTTTAATGATCAAATCGGCAATAAAGGGCTGGTACGGTTTGAGAGCATTGAAACGTTGGACACCTTTAATTATTTTTCTCATCAGTATATCCATTTGGCAGTTCAATTTTCTAAAAGGTATCCATGGCGTTTCGAAGGCTTCAAAACTAGGGCAGGCGATTCCAAGCAGATTTCAATAAGTAGTCTTTGAATAGACGGGATTGCTCATTCAGTTTCTTGTCCGAACTTGTGCCCATTCTTCGTTACAACCGCCTAAATTTTTTCATTAATTTTCCTAATGTCGCAACGTACAAGCAACTTCAAGATAGGTAATTTACGTAAATAATCGAAGAGTGGGAGATCCGGTCAGACTTTTGGCAGGTCAGTCGATTTTCAATCATTGGAAGCCCGGGAAGTACTTATGAGACTAGGAATATCGTTCGCGACCACGATGTGTCACGAACTTTCCTAACATTTGCACAGCATCTGATATCAATTGATGATTCGATTCCAATGGGGTCCCTCCCACACTTTTTGCCTTTTCTCGTGCAACAGTACAGTATTCAGTGAAACTTGATTAGAAGCTGTATCTTACCTCATCTCGTATGAATCCACTATCTTTACTCAGCCAGAAGGAATCTACAACTGCTTCGCCCTTATCGATAGAGATCTGCTCCAGATGAATATGTGTTACATTGGCTACGGTCAATATAGTATAGCCATAATCGTTGAGTCTGAATAGACAAGTATTTGAATTTAATTCATGATCTTGAAGGTCTAAAGTGTAAGTCACCTCCTAGCACTAAAGGGCTCAGGAGTCTTGTCGAATTTTGTGCCAGGACTGTGGCATCCCTATAAAAAGGTTTCTATGAGAGGTATATAAAAATTCTTTGTACTAAATTCCAAGCTCTCTCATCTTGAAACCTCGGCATTTCTGTTGTTCTTGAAATTGTTAATTTTTCAAAAATAAAAAAATTAAAAAAGTTCTTTGTTATGTTGGCACTCGACCTGGATAAAGGATAAACGACCAGAAATCTAACTTTAACCAATCTTGCCAGAAGGATACGCTTCGCATTCGAGTTACTTCAGAATCGTAGTAATGTAATGAATGCGTATGTGGCCTATACAACGACTTGCGGTGGCCAGACGTTGTACAAGTCAGTTCTTTTATCATCCTAGAGGAGTCTGGTACCAACTAACCGACCCCGCAGGGATAGAAGGCTTGGTTGACCTAGGCGGATATCGATCCGGGATTCAAATCCGTGACCGTTGTTTACACTAGCATCCATTTAATTATTAATTCCAACAGTGAGCTTTTCAAAAACTAGCATTTTGAAGGGTCCATCACAGCAATATTAGCTTGAACGATATGCAATAGTAAACCAAGAAGCAAACCGTCCCAGGGAAGAAATTTCAATATTATACTCACTGCTGAACCAGTGACGATGTACGTTGGAGCGGTGGCGTTATGGTAACAGTCAGACTGAACAATCATCACTTCAGCATACTTCTATCTCAGAAAAAAA